CATGGAGCCCGTGGGAGACAACTCCAGTGTCTCCCCTTGAATGCAAAGCACTTACTGCACCTCTGATTTTCTGGAGACTTACTTCCTTATACTGTTATGGAGAGAGCTGGCTATGGTGTTCTCTTCTCTCTTCAGTTGGCTCTAAGCATTGCAAATAAGGCTAGCTGAGGTGCTGGTATGTAATCTCTAAAGCCAACAGGCAGTCCTGTCTCCTCCAGTAGTGTTCTGTAAAGGATGTGAGCACAGCAGGATGCTCGAGCCAGTAGCTCTGGGAATGTCAGCTGGGTAGAAGCCTCAAGGGGAAGAGGCCAAGACTCCCCAGGACAGAAACCAAGGACAGCCTCCCAAAACAATCCAGTTGCTACCTTAATTAGATTATGTGACTTGATCCTTCTGTGTACCTTTATCTCTGCAGTTTACAGCGGTGCCTGTCTCCCACCTAGCTGCCAGCTCAAGGTACTCACGTAATTCCCGCCATCCTCACTGTCACTCACCCCTGAGCCACCCCACTATTACAACAGAGCCTGGGCAGGTCTAATACCCACAAAGCGTGGTTTCTTCTTAAAGTAAAGGAAGGATATGACACAGGCCAGGAACACCTAGGTTGGTATATTCATCAGCTCTCGCACAAAATACCTGACATCCACAACTTAAAGGAGGAGGAGAGGTTTAATTTGGCTCATGGCTTCGGAGAGTGGAGTCCACGGTCAGCTGGCTTGAAGGCAGCAACACCCCAGCAGAAGGGTTTGTGGACAGTGGTGCTCAACCATGGCAGCCAGGAAGTGGGGAGAGAGCAGATAGAGACGGGGGACGGGGGAGAGGCGAAGCTGGGAACAGGAATACACCCTGCCAGGACCCATCTCCTTCAACCAGGCCCCCTCCTAATAGCACCCATGATGCAATCACCTCTTGAAGCCTCACTTCCGAACACCTAAGAGATCAAGGGGTTCTTTAGGTCTAAACCCTAACAGTGGGGCTGGAAGGCCCCAGGCAGAAACATAGGCGGTGGGCGTGGAGTCCCCTTGGGGTTTCAGGGCCAGCACGGCTGCTTTTCTGAAATCTCAGGGAGGCCTGCCATGAGCATCATCTGCACACGCAGCCCTGTGGGGTTGATGTCCCTACTTCCTCCTGGGCTCTTGTGAACATGTCTGATCTCTACACGCTCACATGTTGAGGTGCCGGGCAGTCCTGGTTCGCTCTGGTTCCCCCGGAACCCCTGTAATCCAGCATCATGGCACTGTCACCAGGCACACCATGGTGGCTCACCTTGTGGTCTCCATGCCTACCTATGTTCTGAGTCAGCTGGGGTTGCCTGCTTGCAGGTGCAGGCCCTGACCCCCTGCCGGGGCCAGTGAGGCTGGATCCTTCCTCGAGAGTGGGGAAAGTGATTGGCCCTTTGTGTGTCAGGGCGTGGCCGGGACAGTAGGTCATGTGACATACGGTGAAGGGCCAGGAGTGACTGGCACAGGGGACAGCGCAGGGAGACCCCCAAGACGAAGGTCTCTACTGGGAACAAAAGTGGCAGGGGCCTGTGGCCACACCCACCGCAGCCCCTGCCCTGCTGCTGAGTTAGGAGAGGCAGAGGGCTAGCTTGGGAGGGGACAGGGGCTTCTGTGAGCCTTCAGGGCGGTCTCCAGATTCCCGCCGCCTCTGCTTCTCTCAGTCTATTACCAGGATGAGGGCTGCAGGTGGGGAGTCGCCCCCCCCCCCCGTGGCCCTGAGTTGGGGAGACAAAGCCCAGAGAGCGCTGGCCCCCACCACACGGGGTGTGAACCCCAGGGACCTGCAGATCTGGCCTTAGGCCTGGATGACCAAGCTGGGTTGGGGAGAGTGCAGGGGGGGGGGAGTGGGAGGGAGCCGGGAGGGGCTGAGGGGTACCCAAGATGGGCTGGGGGAGGCTTCCTCAGTGATGCTCTCCACCTGGGGATCCTGCAGCCCCTTTGGCTCATGGCAGACAATTCTGCTGCTCCCCGAACCTTCACCCCACCCTGCTGGGGAGACTGGAGGTGCCCCACATCCCCCCTCTGGCTCATTCTGAGTTGCTCCTGTCCAGCTGGACCAGCCCCCACCGGCCTCCTGCAGCTTCCACAAGCAGGTCTCCTTGACCCACCCCACCATGGCAGGGAGCACCCCAAACGGTGCCCACTCTCTCTCTCGCCCGCCGGGAGCCCTCCCAGACCCCCAGGGGCCCTGTCGTGTGATCTGTCTGTGTCCCGTCCTGCTGTTCTGGGACACCCTGCCCCAGGCCCACCCGGTGGTCCCCCCTCCCCGCCTCTTGGAGCTGAGCTGTCCTCCCTACAGCGCTGCCTCTGGAGGAGTCCTCCTCTCCCCTCCTCCACCCGCGCAGCCTCTGGCCCGCACCTCTGATTCATCCCTGCTCTCCGGAGCAGAGCGCAGCGCCAGCCAGAACGCTGCCCTGGAAGTGTGCATCCTCTGCTCGATGGCGGGGCCCTGTGGGTCTGGCTCTTTCCCCAGGCAGCCCCAGGCAGAGGGGGCCTCAGCTTCTGGAAGGAGCCCAGTGGAAGGGGTGATGAGGGTCTGGAGAGCTGGGGCCTCCCTGGTGAGTAGGAGTCCAGAGACTGTCAGCCACTTGTCCAAGACAGTGCAGCAACTGGGCCAGGCCTCCATGGCGACTCACCTGTGTCTAACCCTGAGGTTTTGTTCTCCAGCCTCCTGGGTGAGATAGGCAGGGCCACGGAGAGGCGGGTCCTCCCGTCACAGGAAGCAGGGGCAAGGCTGCCAGTGCCCTGGGAGGCGGCCTGCCTTTGATTCTTTGATGCTCATACTTGCGAACCCCTGGGGGACGCCTGAGTCATCCTGAGCGGCAAACATATTTACCTCCTTTCATCGGCCCTAATAAATCAGTTTCTCAGGGTCTCTCACACCTGCCTCCGGCTCAGAGCTGCCCGCCCCCAACTCCTGCCCGCCCCCCCGGGGCCCTCAGCCCCCTCCCTATCCACTCCTCTCCAGGTCCTCTGGGGTGGCGGGAACCCTCTTAGTGCACTGGCCACTACTCAGCAGTTGCAGCTGGGTTCCCCACAGCTCCCCGTGATGGAGCTGGGGCTCAGAGACTCGGGGGTCTCATTACTATGCTTGCAGCTCACCCCTGCCAGAGGCCAGCACCCCTCACCTTGCAACCTCGCCGGTGTGCAGGCCCAGCTTGTCCTCGGTGCTCAACCTGTGTCTTCCAGGCCTCACTGGGTTCCCCGCAGGGCACCTCTTCCAAGAAGCCTTCCAGGATGTCCTCCCCAGCCGGGGTTTCTCCCTCCTTCAGTGGCCCCATATGTGCCACCTCCGATGACAGTGCACGCAATCTGCCTGTGATAGTCATAAGCCCCGAGTGGCTGCTCAGCGCTGTCTTGGTGATTCTGCAGATACTCAGCGATCCCCATTTTACAGATGGGAAATTGGAGGCCCAGACGGCTGCACAAACTTGCTCAAGGCCTCTGGGCCACGCTCACTGCTGCCCCCTGTGGCTTCTCACGGTAAGTGGCTTTTCTGGCGCCCGCTCCTCTTCCCACCGCCCGAGCTGCTGAGCCCCGGTGCTCCGGACTCGGTGCACCACCAAGTCTCCATCAAAGCTTTGTGCCGGCGGAACTCAGCTGGCCCAGGCCCCAGAGAGAAAAGTCACCGCGAGAGGCACGCAGCGGAGAGAAGGCGAGCCTGTCCTCCCGTGCCAGGCCAGGCAGGGAGTGAGCAGCGGGCCCTGGCAGTGCGGTCCATGGGCGCTGCCAAACCCGCAGGCCTCAGCGGGTCAAGCGCTTCCCACTCAGGCTGCCCGGCCGGCTCAGGTCCAGTCTCTGCGGGGATGGCGGGGGTGGGGGGTGGGGTGGGGGGGGTGGGGGGTGGGCAGCTCTCATCCGCGTGCGGTGGGCGCCCCCTGCTGCCCAGGGAGAGCAGTGGCAGGATGGCACGAGGGGAGCACAGGATGCCTTGAGTGGGATAGAGACCTGGGGCCCGGGCCTGCGGGTCAGAGCCAGACCCTCCCAGTTCCGGAGAGTGGGCCGATCCTGCTGGCCTCCCCAGCTATGTCCCCAGCTCCTGGCAGCAGCCAGCAGCCAGCATTCCCACAATTCCCCGGGGCCTGCAGACCCCGGCACCAGCCAACGCCGAGGCTTTGAGCGCCTCCGTTAGCGATCGCCAGTGAAACCAACGACCACTGCACCTACTGTACGCTGGGCTGGAGGCGGAGGAGGTGCGCTGAGGCCCGCAAGGAGCTTGCAGTCGGATGGGCCGACGTGGGGTGGCCTTAGCCACCGTCTCCGGGGAGCCTCCAGGGTCCCTTCTGCCAGCCCAGCCCTCCTCTGCCCCACCACAACAGCACGTATCAGCCTGCTAGAGCTGGTCGTCACACCCGTGTCCCCCGCTAGACGTGGGCAAGGGCCACATTCTGATGATCCTTGGGCCTCTGGCTCTGCAGGAGCCTGGTACACAGCAGGTGCTCAATAAACACGGGCTGGAGGCGGGACTGTGTAGGAGAGCTGGCTCCTTCAGCTTCGCAGGATCTTCGAGGAGTTGTGGGATTTCAGGCAGGGGTCTCAGTAGGGTATGGGGCGCCCTTAACACCCCGAGGGATGCAGGAATGCTAGAATATTAGAATGTGCCAGGCACCAGCTACTCTGTCCTGTTCTACCCGTGCCTAGAAGATTGGCCGGCACAGCAGCGGTGCTCATATGCTTGTGGGAGTACAAATAAGTGAAGCCCACAGACTTGAGCCCCTCAATGGATGACCTGCGCTTGCATCCTGCCAGAGATGGGGAGATCATCACCTGTCTCTTGCAGTGATGCCTATTTCTGCCTGTAGACATGGCCTTTCCCTGGGTGTGGTAGGATCAGCTCCACCCTGCCCCTGCCCCTGCCCTTCCCAGAAGGCCAGGCCCTGCCGACTTATGTCTAGTACAGCAGCACAGTGTCCTGAGGAGGAGGTTCAGGGCTCTCGGGGTGCCCCCCTTTTCTGTGTGGGGAAGGGTCGGGGGGGGGGAAGGAACCTTGCTCACGAGTAGACCGTGCACTTTATTCTGTCTTCAGAGTGACCCGCAGCTTCTCGTGTGGGTACCAAGCCCTCAGGGATGGGGAGGAAGCTGAGGGCCGGACACAGGAGCAGTGGACTAAGGACAAGGAGAGGACCTCGAGGGCCCAGGCTCCCGCCCAGTGCTCCTTCCGGCACTTCCGGTGCCCATTCATGGGCCGAATGGAGCAGCCACCGTGGCCTCAGCTCACTTCTCCCAGTGTCCGCCTCGGCCTCCTCCTGCAGACGCCCAGCTGGGCCTCACCTGGAGCAACCCAGCCACCAGGTTCTTGCACGCCCACCCCCGGAGACGGGGCTCACCCTCGGATGGGTGGCATCTCCATCCTGACCCGGGTGTGGGGCTGGGAAGGAGGGCAGTTGCCTGGTGACCCGCTGTTCCCCGGGGGAATCTGCCCCCTATTCCGGGCCACTCAGCCTGGCCGCCGGGCAGAGGCATTTCCTGTTGTCCAGAAATCTCCCCCACCGGGGGCACGCTGGGCCCGGGTGAGAGAGTCAGATGCACCTCGGAGCAGTGGGGCCTCCCCGAGTTAGCGTTGCCTGGGGTTTTGATTCAGCTGCAGAAGGCTGGGGTGCTGCACCCCGCCCCGCTGCCTTCACCACCCTGGGGCTGCTGGCCAAGGTCCCTCCAGGCCTGAGTCTTGGGTCCCACACTGGCTCGGACACTGCCTCCACCCAGAGGCCAGAGAGGATCCGAGCCACGGGGAAGGGGCTCCCGGCGTCCCGTGTCCTGGCCTGGAGTCCAGGCCGTGCATGCTGAGCTCTGCTCCAGCAAGGAGGGCTGAGCCCAAACAGGATGGGGGCTCGCAGAGACACCCCAAAGAGGGCGGGGGAGCCAGGGCCCCCTGCTTGGAGGGTGAAGAGTCCTGAGAGGAGCCGCAGTTCTTGTTCTCCTCAGCTCTACTGCCGTGGACCTGAGGGGCAGGGCCGCTGGGTGCCAGGACCTCGAGGTGGGTTCTGTGCCCTCTGGGGGCCCCACCTGGCCCCTGAGCTCTGTCTTCCTCTTGCAGTCAGCTTGAGATGACGGGGGCGCCCGAGGCCGGGAAAGGTGGGAGGGGGTCTCCCTGACCGCCTCGCTGGCCGCTCACTGCTTGCTGGCGATCTTCTGCTTCCGGGCAGAGACCAGGTCGTAGAAGGGGACACGGGTGATGCTGGCCCTGCAGGGACAGTGGGGCACATGGGAAGCAGACTGAGTAGTGGGCAACGAGATGGGGCTCCTGGGACTTGTGACTGGGGCCTCCAAGGAAGTGAGCCCAGCAAGGGCAGCTCCCGGCATCCCATGGGCAGGGGCTGAGGATCAACAAGTCACCCCAAAGTGCCCCAGGCCTTTCTAGCCCTCTGAGGCTCATGGGAGCAGATGGGGAGCCTGGCTGGTGCCAGGGACCTGCTTAGGGGCCCAGCTCTGCCTCTCACTGCCTGTGCCACCCCGGACAATTTTCTAGCCTTTCTGGACCTCAGTTTTCCCATCTGCAAAGTGGAGATAAGAAAGGTTCTGGCTTGGTGGCCTCACGGGCTGCTTCAAGGCCTGGATCAAAAATTCCGAAAGTCCTCTGTGGCTGCCCACAGGTCACAGGCCTCACCCGTGCTGAGGTCAGACTCAGTGCGTGGCTTCCATCCTGTGACCGCCAGGCCTCCTCCCAGGCTGCCATGTCTGGCCTGTGGTGACACATCTGGTCCTCTGTGTCAGCAGAACTGCTCCCACTCTGGCTTTTCTCATCTGGATGCGCCCCTCCCTGATTGCTCCCTGCTCCCCAGTGCCCCCAGGAGTGCGTCACCAGCCGTGTCATCTTCCGCTGCTCAGCCCCTACACAGCCCAGCCTCACTGGGCCCCTGGGGCGCCTGCAGGCTGCCCGCCATGGACCGTCCCTCTTGCCCTTCACCTGCAGAGCCCTTCCCCACCCACCAGGCGCAGGGGGTGCTAATGAGGCCCAGGGGGTGGGCGGGAGCTGCCTGGCAACTTGCTCCCACCAACCCCGAGGTCAGTCCCTTCCTCCCGCGTCCTGGGCCTGGCACGCTGTCCGGCTCTGAGGACAGGAGGACAGGATGCCCATGGGAGGGACTGTCACGCTCGAGGCTGAGACCCCCAGAGAAGCGGGGCCCCCAGGAGGTGGCAGGGATCTGTCCCCAAGCCACCGCCCTCACCGGATGGCCTGGATCCACTGGTCGCGCTCCTCGGCGCTGGCTGCGGAGATCCTGTAGGACTCGTGCTTGCCCTCCACCACCCTGCCGTCACCGTCCGTCTTGCAGGCCTTGATTCTCTGGCCTCGGCAGCGGGGGTTGTAGAGCTCCAGGCAGAACTGGGGAGGGGCAGTGAGGGTGGGCGGTGGGCCCACAGCCCCAGGAAGGAGCACACAGAGGCCCCGTCTCCAGGAAACCCTGTCCCCCTGCTCTCCTCTCCCCTTGAGGACGCTGTCCAGCAGCTGCAGCCGGGCATGACACCTACCGGCTTCTTGGGGTCGTCCACCTTCTGCACGGAGAGGTTCTCCAAGGGGATGATTCCTCGGGGCTCCTTGTCCTACAGGGGAGAAGGAAGGCAGGGTCAGTTACTAGAACCTTAGGCAGAGGGCAGGGCTCCCCAGAGCCAGAGAGGAGGGGCCCATCTTCCCTGACTGTGCCCAGCTGTGCAGGGGAGCAGTGAGGAGACCCAGCCCTGGCTCCACTTTGGCCTCAGTTTTTCCCTCTGTAAAATGGGCACTGAGGCGCCCTGACCTATCTCGGAGGCGCCTGTGCTCCGGCTGTGGGGTTAGGGGAGGGTGGCGGGGAGGGGCGGCTCACAGTGGTGAACTCGAAGTAGTAGAGGCAGTTGTCGGTGAGGATGAACCAGCGTCGCTTCCAGGTCTTCACCCGGCCCCCTGCGGGAGAGGGACAGCGCAGCCCGATGATCCTCCTCCTCCTGGCCCCAGCGTCCCCTCCCACACCATCCCTCTGGCTCCATAATCCAGGCTTGCCCTGAGTGCAGGCAGGGCTGCCCGTAGACTGGGCTTGGGGGTGACGGGTGCCCTCCCGCCTCTTCCCGGCCACTGCCCCTCCCTCCCTGGCCCTGTGCTGAGTGTGGCATCTTTCATGCCAGGAAGGGGGCTAGAGGGCTGGCAAGGCCGGGGAGAAGCCGGGGTGGTCAGGTCCGGCAGGTCCGCTGTGACGCTGGCCTGGGCAGGCGCTGGGCTGTGCAGGGCTGGAGGCTGCCGACTGAGGCCCTGCTCCAGCACCAGGGTCTCCTCTGCCGGCCCCTGCGGGGCTCTGGGGGTTCGTGTTGGGCGGCAGGGGCAGTCGGCCCTGTGGTCCCCTAGCTACGCCCTGCAGCCGCTGCCACCTCACACCCTCCACAGCGTGCCCTGAGCCACATGGTGTCACACTCCCACCCCCTCCTGGGACACCAGCCCACTGCACCCTCAAGTCTGCCATTGCCGCTCTGTGGCCCTGGGCGGGTGCCCTACCCTCGTTGAGCTCTGGCTTGCACAGCACCTTGGCCTCACTTAGTAGGGCCCCATCACTTAGTAGGGTCTCCACTGAGACCTGTCCACCTCGCCCTCAAAGCCGTGTGCGGGGCCCTCCGCCTCCTGCCGCACCGCTCAGCCTGCTTCACTCCTGGGCCGGGCTGGTGAGCCTGCAGCACGGGTGCTGCGGCAGACTGTTCATTAGCACTGAAAACTCTGAAAGGTTCGCCATCACTGCGTGGGGCCAATAAGTGGAGAGACAGATGGATGGATGGGGGTATGGATGGGTATGTGGGTGAGGGGATGGATGGACAGATGGACAGATGGGTGGCTAATGGATCAGATGGCTGGCTGGATGGGTGGGTGCATGGAAGGAAGGAAGGAAGGATGGATGGATGGATGATGGATGGGTAGATGGATGGATGGACAGACGGATGGACCGATGCGCAGATGGACAGATGAGTGGGTGGATAGATGGATGGACAGATGGTGGATGGATGAATGAGTGGATTGATGGATAGATGGGTGGCTGGATGGACAGATGGGTGGATGGATGGAAAGGTGGGTAGATGAATTGGTAGATGCGTGACCGGAAGGATGGGGCAGGCAGACCACTGTGCTGAGGTACACGAGATCGGGGCTGTGGCAGCTGTACCCCGAGGCTGCATGTGAGCGTGCACGCAGGTTTCAGCCACGAGCCTGCATGTGCCCGAGAGTGCATGTGAGCTAGGAGTGTGCACGTGCATTCAGAGTGTGTTCACGACATGCATACACATCGGGCGATGTGCGCTGGGCGTGGGGCCCTCACCCAGCTTGAGCAGCCAGCCTTCCCGGTCCGGGTTGAAGAAGGTGTAGGTGAGGTCGCTGCCGTCGTCCTCGGGGATGGAGAAGGGCTCGCTCTTGATGCTGTCGAAGAGGTTCTGCAAGGGGCAGGAAGGAAAGACCTGGGTGTGCGGCCCGGGGGTGGGGGCCTGGGCAGTCCCTCCTGTCCTGCAGACCCTTCACTTCTGGCTGCTCATCCTGGCCCCCGGCGAGCCCACTGGTCTCCCTTCTGCTCTGGGCCTGGTGGCGCCCAGCCCCTTGCCCTGCCTCCCTGGGAACTGTCCGGCACAGAGGCAGCTTGAGGCTGCCCTGGGAGAGTCCTTTCTTCTGTTTCAGGGAGCACCCGAGCCCTGCACCTGCATGCAGGGCTGGGGACACGGGGACCCCTGCTGTGGAGGGTGAGTGCCCTGGCAGAAGGGGAGGCTCCAGGAGGGAGGCTGACTATGCCCTCCAAGACCCCTTTCCCAAGGAGCCCCGGGTGCACGGGCTCTGACTGCAGAACTGGGGCCCAGGGTCCCTGAGAACACATTTCAGGTCCCCATGGAGGAAGGACTTGGCAGTAGGAGCCGCAGAAGCATGGTCCCTGGAGGTATGCAAGCCAGGCCTGGGTGCCCTGAGGACCCAGCAGGTGTTGCCCTGGGTACCCCAGTGTTTTCAATGTCCTGCTGTGAGGCACTGATCAGATCCCGGGAGCCGCCTCTGCCTGGATTCCGGGCTCCGGAGGAAGCTCTGAAGGATTCGGTGGTGCCTGTGCAGGCAGACGTTTCCTCCTGCTGCCTCTGTGTGGGCCGCTAATGGTTTTCTCGAGATTTTCAATGGAAAATTTCACAAGTCTCATTCCGTGCTCCCCAAGTTTGTAAGTGGTGCCTGCTGGTTGTTTATACCCTTTCTGATCTCAGAGCTAGGGGGTTTGGAGTGGGGTGCAGGCTGAAAGCCATGTGCCCTGGCTCTGTGGAGGTGGGGCTCAGGCCCCTCTCCTAGCACACACTCAAGGCCCAGGCCCCCAGTCTGGCTGCGGTGGCGGGGGTGGGGGCGCAGGGACCTGTGTCTCCTGGGAGACCTGGGCTCAGCCTCCCTGGGGACTGCCGGGTGGTGCCAGCTGGTTATCAGGGCCTGTGGCAGAAAAGGCTCATTGGCCGAGCTGTCATCAGGGACAAATACTGGGGAGGGTGGGGTGGGGTGGGGTGGGAGGTGGCCTCCCCCAAAGCCACAGGGGGCCCCTGCAGCCTCTGTGGTCACAGCATCAGCTCGCACATTCTGCGCCCACAAAGAAACAGCTCAGCTCACCCACGCTTCCTGTGCCTTGTAAACACCCCAATATCCTCCGTCCCCCAACCACCAGCCCCACCGCCCCGTGTCTGGGTAGCTGTGCAGAAATGCAGCCGCGGCGTCCGCCCATCCTCCACATCTGCAGCATCGCTCTCGCCTGGCTCCCCAGGGCAGGCTGTTGGGGGGTGGTTTCTCCAGGTGCGAGAAATGACTCACATTTGGCTGAGCTGAGAGCCCTCAAGCGCCTGCTGCAGTGACTGGTTCAGGGTGGCACATGTGACCCAAGCAATAAATCAGTGAGCTGGAGCAGCTGAGCAGGAGGATGCTAAGCCGGCTGGGAGCCCGGAGACCCCCTGGCCACCTCTGCCACTCGCTCGGAGAAGGACAGGGCGCCCAGATGGGGCCACCGGGGTTGGACCCCACTGGGGCTGGAGCCTCAGAGGGAGCCCTGATGCCCTGAGCACCTGGATCTAATCTAGTGGTGTCCAGGCCAGACACCGAGAGTCTAAAGGCCAACTGAGCCCTCATTGTGGGAGGGACAGGAGTTCAGGGCCCCCCACCCAGGAAGCAGCTGGCTGCCGGGAAGCACTGCCAAGTCCTCTGTCCCCAAACCGTCGTGTCCTCTGCTCTGTGCACAGCAAAGGGCTCTGGGGCCAGCACAGTGTGCGCTGGGAGAAGAGGGCAGAGGTGCCCAAGTCCACGGCGTGAGCTCCCTGACCTGCTGCACCGTCCCCTGGAGCCCAGTGGCTTAGCTGAGTGCTAGGGACAGGGGCCCAGAGGAGAACACAGCACCAAGAACAGGATGCTCTGAGAGGCAGGTCCGGAGCAGACCCAGGGGATCCAGGGCGAGAGACCCGGCCCGACCTGGCCTCAGTTTCCCCACCCCTACCGTCAGAGGATGGAGTGCCTGGCCCCCTTGCCGTCCCCCTTCCTGACGAGTAGTGCCCACGCCCTGCTTCTCGGGAAAAGAGTCGCAGTCACTAGTCCACTGTGCAGATGAGGCCACTGTCCAATGTCCCAGCGCCAAGGGCAGAGCTGGCACTGACCTCCTGTGCCCCGAGTCCCCTGAGCTCTCCACCTGGTGCCACCCGATCGGCCAGGGCAGAACTGGCTCCAGGCCCTTGTCCCCCCACTGCCACCTCATGCCCAAGAGCCTTTCCCACCCGTGCCCCCCGCAGGGTCTGTGTGCCCTTGGGGTGACCTCTGTTGAGGTCGCTTTTAATACTGTACACGGGGCATGGGACAGCATCCCCAGCGAGGTCCAGAAGGACGTCTCTTCGCACAGACTCCCACAAAGGGGTTGGAAGTGTCTGCTTTCACTTGGGTAAAACGAGGCCCAAAGAAGAGGGCAGGGGTCCCCAAGTCCACGCAGCCAGCTGCGAAGCTCTCAGGAGAACAGGCGGCTCCTGTGTGCTCACTGACAACTCCGGGGCAGCCTCGAGGTTCTCTGGCCTCTCCGTCTACCCAGACACTTTGCCGAATGTCCAGCGTTTCCACACAGACCCCCGAGTGGGAGCACTCGGGGAGCTCGAGATCTCAGCCAGGGAGGGGGCGGCTCCATCGCGGGCCAGCACCGTATTAACCGAGCTGGGAATGATGGGGGGATGCCAAGCAGGCTACTGGCACCTGGGAGGCACGGCCAGGCCAGGGCTGAGGAGGGGGTGCTGCCACTCACTGCTTCATCCAATGCCAAGGTCAGAGTGTGCCCAGCGCTGGCCGCAGACTGCCGATGACCTGGCTCTCCCTGCCTCTTCCGCTGCAGCATTTCCCCACGTCTCAGTATTAGTCACCCTGCACAGGGACCCGAGCCACCATGCAGAGCCTACGTGACGCACTTGGCACGGGCTGTGCCCTCTACGACTGTAGAATTACAACTCACGGCAGCTGTGTGACACGGGCAGGCTGTCCCCACCCCTACGGAGGGGACTGTGGCTCTGACCCAGTGAGTCACTGCCCAAGGTCACTCTGTGGGCAGGTGGGGCCATGGACTGAGTGCTTCTCCAGCCACAGCTCGAGCCCTCGCTCCAAGATGTGGCCCTGGGGTGCCAAACATCCTGCTCTGGGAACCGAGGCGGCCTTGGGCTAAGAGTGCGGTGCTGCCCAGGCCAGGGCCCCAGGACAGTACAGACCCTGCTGGCTGAGGTGGGAGGACCTGGGCGTGCCGAGCCGGCAGTGGGGCTGTTTGTGACCCTGGCTCTGACCTGGGCACCCCCAGCCCTTGAAGAGAGCTGGCCACTCATGTGGCCCGGCTGGGCCCATACGTCTCCCTGAGAGCACAAACTGCTCCTGACCCTGTTGTATGGAGCCGGACACCTGGCCCCGTGTCCCTGCCGCCAGGACCTGTGCTGTGCCATCGCGGTCCGCCCTGTGTCCAGAAGCAGGACTGGGGAGCCCACCGCGGGGCCAGCTGCACTTGTGAGGGTTCCTCCCAGGACAGTCGCCCCGCACCGGCCACCCAGGGCCCGGGCCTCCTGGCACCGCCAGGCCAGATGGTGGCATGCCCCTCCTACCCGCAGCTGCTCCTCGGGCAGGTCCCCGCCGCCGTTGATGCCCCGGTTCATGGACACAAAGCGCTCGAAGGGCGGCCGGTCGCGCACGTTGGGGTTGTGCAGGCTGGTGTTGAGCATGATGACGGCGAAGGACAGCACGTAGCAGGTGTCTGCGGGCAGGACAGGGTCAGAGGCCCGGCGTGGCCCTCCCCAAGGGACCTCGTCCCCTGGCCTGGCACTCGAGGCCCAGCGCGCTGCGGGCGGGCTGCTCTGCCCGGAGAGGAATCCGCTGCTATCCTCGGGGCAGTCGGGCTCCAGGGGAAGCGGGGATCCCCGCTGGCTACTCGGGCCCCTAGGGCGGTGGCCCATGCCGGTGACCCCGCGATCGGTCGCTCCCCTGCGTAGCTTCCACCTGGGGTGGGGGTGGGGCTCCGTGTTCCGAGTCAGTGACTCTGCTCTGATGACCGAACGGCTCGGAGAGAAGCCCTTGACTTCCCCATGCTGCCTCAGCAGGCACCTCCCCCCTCCCCATTTCACAGATGGGGAAACTGAGGCACGAGGTAAGCCTGGTTACACGTCCAAGGTCACCTAGTTAAGAGCCGACTGGACAGTGATTGACAATGAGCTTTGCAAATCCCCCTCCTCCCCGCCCACCGCCGTCTGCTGGGTCCTGCTCTGGGCCGGGGCCTCGGGCCTTGGTGGACAGCTCTGGCTGGGGCCCCGTGGGACGTTTATAGGAGGATCTACAGGACTTGGCCCAGCTGGGGCCAGGGCGGGGTGCACGGATGCCACTTGTGCTCTGAGGCTGGGTTCTGTGCCTCAGGGAGGATGAGGACCCTCTGCACCCCGGGACCGTTCCGTAAACAGAGCTGGCTTTACTGTGTCACCTCTAGATCCAGAGACCAGGGCAACTGAGCTGTGGCGGTCCCCTGTCTACCCTGTCCTCTTTAGCCCTGGCAGAGAGGGTGGAGCACTGAGCTTTGTTTATCTCCTTCTATGCTCTCTGTCCCTTACACCACTGTTTCATGCTTCTGAGCCTTTGCTTCAACTGAAACTCTAGTCAAAAAATGTCATTGAGAACTCCTATTCATCCTTCAAAACCCTATTTGGATTTACCACCTCTGAGAAGTCACTCTGGACATGCTGACTTCCCTCTCCCTCCCCTCAGATGGGGGTTGCTGCTGCTTTGACACCTTGTGCCATCATTCCCTGCGACCTCTTCAGGACCATGTCTTGTGGTGGTGCCACCAGACAAACACCTAGCAGACGGCCTGGCATGGAGGTGGCCCTTAGGGAAGGATGAAAAGTGTGGGCTTCTGGGCATGTGGCTTGGGAAAGACTGTGGGGTGGAGCCTGGCCTCGCTGAGAGGTCGCACCTGTGGACTGGAAGACACCCGGGTTGCAGAGGCAGTAGCGGGCAGCGAAGGTCTCCATCATGCGGTCGATCTTCTGGGCCTCGCCGGGCAGCCGGAAGCTCCACAGGAACTGCCTGGGAGGAGCGGGCAGCGGGCAGCGCTGAGCTGGGCCCCGGGACGGGAGGGGCTCAGACACACAGGCAGCACCCGTGTGGGCATCGAGACATGCTCCCGCACACCCTCCCTGGACATTACCACGACTGTGGCCCAGTCCACCCTGGCCACTGAGCCCGTGGGTCCAGCTGTGCGGCCTCGGGCTGGTGCCTGTCCCTGGCTGGGCCTCCACTCCTGAGACCCACACTTCCCTCCTGGGCCAGGAGATTGCAGGGTGACTTCCCTGAGGGCCCGGGCTGTGCCCGCTCCGAGCCCGAGGCTCCTAAGTCATCTCCTTTCCTTTGCAAACTAGGAGAGATGCAGGGTGCTGGCTTTCTCCTTGCAAACTCCTACTCATCCTTCAAAGCCAAGGGGGGTGCCTTTTCTTGGGAGCTAACTTCCCAGGCATTACCACCAGCAGTAAGACTCACTAAGCACCTCCTGCGAGCCAGTTCCAAGGGTTTCCGTATTTATTCCTCACAACCCTACCAAAGTGGTACCGTTACTATGCCCATTTTACAGATGAGGAAACTGGGGCACAGAAGGTTTTCTTTTTTGGTGACTCTCCTGTGGTCACACAGGCAGAGGGCCAAAGCTGGCACTTGACCTGAGCCATCTGGCTCCAGAGTCCGTGCTCCAAACCCTGCACCCGAGGCCTCCCGCGGGGGAGACAGTACCAACAGCAGCGTCAGTACCCCGCCCAACCAGAAGCACCAAGCGCATGTGCCCGCACTGGGCTGCAGTGGCCAAAGTAAACCAGCACGGAGCCCGCAGGCAACGCGCGACCTTCAGCACAGCAGCCAGGACTGGCGGGCGCTCCCTGAGCCGGGCCGCTGGGACCTGCAGGCCCGCCCTCTCCTCCTGCCCTGTCCCGTGTCCTCCTCTCCGGGGACCCAGTCGCCCTGCAGGCCCAGCCCTGCCCTCCACTCACCTGAGAGCTTGGACCAGGTTGAGGTTGGCGAACTCATGGCAGTCCACGAAGGCCTGGAGGACCTCCAGGTTGAGGGGGTCCCTGGGGAGAGGGTGGGGCAGCTTGGGAACCCGCCTCTGGGCGGGTGGAGACGTCCATCCTACATGTGCCATAGCCAGCCCCTCTTCCCCAGCCGCTGGCCTTCTGCCCTTTGGTCCGCCCCGTGGATCAGCGGAAGGGTGGTCCCAGGTCACTCCTCCGTCTGGACCCCTCCCACAGACCCCCCCCTCACCCCTGCCAGGTCCAGGGCCCCTCTCTTCAGTCTCCCCAGCCTGCTGTTCCCTGAGTCCATCCTGCCCCAGGGCCTTTGCACCAGCCATTCTACTGCCTGGAGTCCTCTTCCCCAGCTGTGTGCACTGCCATTGCCACCTCCTGAGAACCTTCCTGCCATCTGCTCTACGATCGCAGCAGGGAATGCAGGGTCCCCGGTACTCTGGACCCCTCCCTGCCTCCCCTAACACCAGGACCTCAGGGCTGTAATGAGGAGCGGCACCCGCTGGCATCTATGTCCCCGTCCCAGGGCAGGACCCGCTGTCTCGAGAACCAGGACCTAGAGCGGTGCCAGCGGGACCAGCATCTATGAGGGTCATGGATGAGGGCGTCTGAGGGCGTGAGCTGCCCCCAAGCTCTGCGAGAGCCAAGCCCCCACCTCCTGCCACCCCGGGGCCCTCACCTCTCCCCCAGGTAGTTCCCGATGGCCGTCTTGTTGAGGCCCTCGCCCTTGTACAGGAACTGGGCGATGTCCTGGGCGCTGGGCTTCAGCAGCTTGTGCTCGGTGAGATACTGGATGCCCTGGGGGGACAGAGTTGTGGCAGCCCCGCTGGCAGTGGGGGCGGGGGGAGCAGGAGGAGGAGGAGGAGGAGTGGGGCAGGCCGGGAGGGGCCCTGGGCCCTTGTTCTGAGCAGCACAGCTGTTCTGGCAATTTGTCCCTCTTTAATAGGAAGTGCCTTTGTGAAGTGGTGAGCTCCCCGTCCCTGGAGGCGTGCAAGTTCCTGCAACCAACCAGGCTCGTGCCAGGTGCTCCCCGGGGTTCCCTTTAGCCCGGCAGCCTTTGATTATATGCTCCGACAATTCTATGCATTCATAATTCTCAGATTCAGCCTTTTCTTTTGTTCCCTGAAACTTAGGAAACTTAAAAATAGCGTTTTGCTTTGTCACGCAAAGTAACCCACGTTCACCGCATAAAAGTTAAGAAAAAAATAGAGCTAAATCCAAAGGGCAGGAAACAAGCCAGGTGCCCCCAGGGTCCCAAAGTCTGCCTTCTGGAGTCTGGGCCGACCTGCTCCCCTAGAGGGGCGGCAGCTTGGGGTGGGGTGTGGGCAGGGCCGGGCTGTGACAGTGACAGTGACGGTGACAGTGACAGGGCTGGCTCGGGCCCTTGGAGGCCGCACCCCTGAGCCGGCAGGGGGCGGCGGTGAGAGTCCCTGGACGGGCTCCCGCAACAGGGCAGGAGACCGTCTTTGGGGACAGGCGCTCCCTCCAGGCCCCCCGCAAGGAGGGCAGGAGAGGAGCTGGAACGGTGCCCCTGGGTGCAGCCCCGCCTGGCGCCCCGCTGACCTTCACGGGGTCCATGTTGAACTTCTTGCGCCCGATGCACAGCTCCTTGTCCTTCTGCGCCATCCTGCTGTGGACACGAGAGTGTCAGGGGTGGCTCGGGGCCCCCATGCCCGCCTCCCCTGGGCCCTTCCGGGGAGCCACATGCCCTGAGACTGCAGATGGGGGGCACAGGCCCTGAGCTGACTCCTGGGTGCATTTCTCCCCACCAGGGAAGCCGATTTGGGAGAGTTGCCCGCTCCCTCCAGCCTCGGTTTCCTCATCTGTAAAGGGGTGGCAGTGCCCCTTGACCCCACGCTGCGGGGGTTACCGTGCTGAGAACTGTGGGCGGTGGGTGCTGGGCGAGTGTTACAGGAGGCACGTGCACGTGTGTGCGTGTGTGCACGTGTGTGTGTGTACATGTGCGCGTGAGACGTGCCAGCAGGTGGCCTCGTGACCCCCTCACCTGTCCTCAGAGCCCTCGAAGCAGTCGATCTGGGCAAACACCTCCGAGATCTCGTCCTTCAGCTTCTGCGGGGGAGCACATGGAGGTCAGGCGCCCCAGCCGCTCCTGCCCCAGGTGACCGCACTGCCCCGTCCCCCCTCCACCCTCAGCCCCAGCCTGAGACCGCCCACCCCCAGCGAAGTCCCGAGAGCTCGCCGCCTCTGCCCTCACCCAGCCCGGTCTCCAGCTTCCCACGCCTCCCCCTGCTTGGAGTGTCCCGCCCGGGGCCAAGCGCTCCAGGCGCCCTCCTCGCCCTGCAGGCAGCTTCCGCAGGCCCAGGCTGCAGCCTGCCCTCGGGGGGGCTCCGGTCCCTCCGGGGCTCCCTGCTGCCTCCTCCAGCCCGTGCTCAGCCCCGCTCCTCCCGGCTCCTCTCCGTGCTCTGTCCCTCGGCTTCTCAGCGCCCACTGCCTGCCAGGCACTGCAGGCTGCCGGGGCAGAGGGCACAGGGCACAGGGTCCCCTTCTCAGGGACTCTGCAGCTCAGTGAAAGCTGTTGGGGGACACTGAGGCACAGAGAGAGGAAGGGACTAGCCCAAGGCCTCACTCCAAGCTGTGCTCCTGGACGCCATGCCAAGCCTTTGTCAGCTTGCCTCTGGAGGTCCCCAGGGGTTCCCCTGGAACTCAGAGCCCAGGCAGCTTCTGTCCACGTGACGTGGCTGAGCCACTAGGTGATGCCCATGCATACAGTGGAGGCTCGCTGGAGAGAATGAACCAGGGGCCTGTGTGCTCTGGAACAGGTCTGGGTGCCAGGCCTGGGCTCTGCCTTCACGGAGCCCACAGACTGGTGGGCTCGGAGCCGTGAAGCCATGAGACAGATGGAGCCGCGATACACAAGATGATCAGAGCAGTTGTACAGAAAGAGACTGCCACATAGTAGGTGCTTGATAAAATACTAGTTGACCACATGATTTTGTGTTGGTCATATGTATGCACCAGTGAATATTGGTGGGAGGGGACGTGCTAGCCAGGGCAGTCAGGGCACTCTGGAGGAGGAGAGGTTTGAACTGAGAATGAAGTAATGAGAAGCAAGAGTCATGAGGAGACAAGAAAGAGTCCCAGACAGAGAGGAACTGTGAGTGCAAAGGCCCTGCGACAGGTTTGAGCCAGGCACATTCAAGAGACAGAACCTATCCCTGTGTTAGAATGGAGCGGAGAGTCAGATGAGCAGGTGAGTGAGAAATGACTGGGAGGGCTGGGGATAGCTCGGTGGTGGAGACCTTGCCTGGAATGAGTGGGGTCCTGGTTCTACCTTTAGCACTGCACCCCACACCCTCAAAAACCGTCCATGATCCTCCCAGTGAGCTGGCAGATGCTGGGCACGCACCGGGCATCATCTCCACCCAACGGCCTACTTTGGGGAGGGGCAGGGCTGATCAGGGCCACATAGCTGGCTCAGACTTGTTTGCCATGGAGCAGGTGAAGGCCAGGGGAGGGGCTCGACCCCGGCAGGTGCTCGCGGGATTCCTCTCTGCCCTCCTGGCTCCCGGGTCCTCTCTGGGGACCTGGCAGCCTCCGGAATTCATGCTGATGCCCACTCTTCTCCTCACCCCACCCAGATCAGGCCGGAGTCAGGATGGGCCAAGAGGGAGTGGGAGGGGTGTGTCGTGCGCATGCGTGTAGGCCCGTGGAGGGGTGCACAGGGCTCCGCGCATGCGCGTGTGGACCCATGGGCGCGCACACACCTGGATGTCCTCCAGCAGCTGCTTGCGGTGCCATTTGATCCTCTGCAGCTCCTCTGCGTCCTCGCTACTCAGCTCGGCGGACTCTGGAGAGAGAAGACCCCTGTCTTGGCCGCTCGTGCAGACCCGCCCAGCTCCACCTCTGCCTCGGGCCTCGCCGAGGTGCCACCTCCCTGGGAGCCTGCCCTGAGCACTCTGTTTTTTCCACCCCCAAAACAGAGACTCTTCCTTGTTCCCCAAATTATTCCCTGGTCATTCATCTGCATTGCTTTCTGCCCACTACTGTAACCAGAGCACCGATTACTTGTTGAAGGCCTTCATCCTTCCCTGAAACTCACTTTTTCATCAGCTCCTGTGATTATTATTTATTCACCTACTTTTGCCTCACCTGTGATTGGCCAGAACATAGTCACATGGCCACCCTAGCTGCAAGGGAGTCTGGGAAATGAGCCTTTAGTAGAGTAGTTCTGAAGTCCTCACTCTGCGAGGCAGGGAGACTAGATTATGGGGACACTCGACAGTCCCTGCCCCCAGAGACTGAGGCTTGGAGAGCAGGGATGACCAGGCCATCGTCCCACAGGGACGTAGTTGCTGATCCGGGCTGAGATTTTGGGGTACAGTGGCCGCAGAGCTGGTGCTTGACGATCGTCCAGAACTGAGTTCCTTGAGGCATGTGGCTGTGGTGTTCTGTGTAAGATGTGGTGTGATTCCCACCCAGGGCCTGTGACCTGTCCTGCCCCAGCACTCTGTGGTCGAAGTCTCCAGGGTCTCTTTGTCCCTTCTGCTTCAGGCCTTAGCACGCCAGCCTGCCTTCCCCGATTCTGCACCCGAGTCTTCAGTCCAGCCTTGGGCAGTGCCTCCCCTCAGGGACGCCTCTTGAAGTCAGAAGTCCCGTATCGAGAAGGCAGTCACCAGGCCGGAAGGCTCGCAGAGATCAGCGTCCTGAAAAGCTGTAGTGATCCTTCCCTAAAGGGATCTCCACATATGCTGAGGAGAGCCAGCCACAGGGTCCAGGCTGACCCCGGCACTAGGAACTGGGGTGTCACCCAGGGCCCCTTAGAGTGGCTGTATAGAGAGACTGGGTTGCAGATGGAGTCCAGCCAGGTCACGGTGTGTCCACTTGGCTTGTGGCCACTTTCCTGGACCACAGCTGTCACTGAAGTGGACAAACAATTGCTTGACCCATACCTGGGCTGTGGCTGTCATGGAGCGTTGGGAAGTCTGTGAGCTGTCACGGCTACAAGGAAAACTGTCACTTTGGACTAAGTGGAAGAGCAGGGCTATGGCCATCTTGGGACCCATAGGATGCAGGGCAGTGGCCTTCATGACCCCTGCATGTGTCACCACAACAGAGGGTGGACACAGGCCCCACAGACTAACCAGGGGAGCCCCAAGCTGGTGGCAGCCGCTGTGCCAGATGTGGTTTCTTTGCTAGAGAAGTGAACAGGGCAGTGGTGTGTGATGCAAGCACCAGTCTGGCAGGTAAGCTCCTGTCACCTCTGTCGGGAAGGAGGGGCAGACATGTCCAGGGCCTGGACAGCTGGGCCCTTTGCAGCCTTGCCCCAGAGTCAGGTTTCCCCCCTCTCACCCCAGAATCAGGTTTCCTCCCTCTTGCCCTCTATCATGACAAAGTCAGAAGAGGCCTGACCACTTCAATGGTGACGGCCACCATGTAGGTGACCGCATATTCATGGACAGATGGATAAAGGTGGATCAGAGGCCTTGGTGAGATGCAGGTGCTGGCGCGTGGGTGTGGACCCTGGCAAGGCCAGATGTGCCACATGGGTGCAGCTTTGAGGAGGGCCTGTGTCCTGGGACATCCAGAGAGGGACAGATGCTTCCTGACCCCCCCCCCCAGGGGGAAACCACCCCCGCTGGGCATCTTGGCGTGCCAGGACAGGCACTCCTGGGAGATGCGCAGAGTGCCAGCTGCAGGCCAGGCTGAGGCAGGAAGGCTTTGGGAGTGGCCGGGCTATGCCTTCGGATGGCCCCTTGGCACATTAGCACTGCATCGGGCCTGGGGACGACTCTGAGAACAGTTTGGGGGCCCCATGGGAGAATCACAAAGCACCCCTGGCACACAGTGCCAGGCCACCTCCTGCAGCAGAGAGTTACAGTTAGGAAAACAGCCCCAGAGGCCCCGTGGGGCGGTGTGGCCACAGACACCACGGCACCTCGAAGCCAGGGGCACTGCAGAGCCCCAGAAGGGTCAAGGAGGCCCGAGGCCGGCCGTTGCCACAAGCAGACGCAAAGGCGTAGAACGGTCCCGTGGACAGGTGGCCTAGGTGCCATGTTACCACCAGGGTCTGCCCTGTGGCTCTCTCTGACCTCCTGGTGCAGGAGGGAGGTGGCCCCACCTGGTGGCAGGATGCACTGGCACAGGGTCTGGGTACAAGTAAGGCCTGGGCAGTTGCAGGGCTCCGGGCCTGCCCCTAGGGTCCCGGGAAGTCAGTCCCTGACCCAGAACTTCACGCAGGGCATCTGGCCATCCACTTCCTGGGACAGAGAAGTGGCTTGAAATGAGGGTGTCCGTGATTCCTGGGCATTAATGACTGGCTTGCCTTCTGGTCAGAGGCTAGGAAGAAGGAAGAGTGGCCTGTAATTCTGGCACTCTGGGAGGCTGAGGCAGGACGGTTGCAAGTCTGAGCCCAGCCCAGGGAATTTAGTAACTTAGCAACACCCTGTCTCATCATAAACATAGAAAGGGGCTGGAGCTGGAGCTTGGTGTGAAGGCCTGGTACCTTCCCTGGTACCAAAAGAATAAATAAATAAAAAATCAGGAAACTGGGATATGGAGGTCAGGAGGAGGCAAGGAAGGCCTTGTGGGAGAGGGTACAAGGTGGCACTTCTGTACAGGTCACAGTACCAGTGTGCACACACACGAGAGAGGCCAGCAGCATGATGCCAAGGGCGACCCTCTGGGCACACGAATGCGGGAACCGTGTGGTCCGCACGGAGCACAGAAGCCCACACTGAGCCCGTGGTCTCTCCGGGGACCAAGTGCCAACTTGGATGGCTTCCGATGGCCCTGGACCCCCCCCATCCTCTCTGGCCAGCTGCTCACTGGCCGGAGGCAGCGCATGTGGACATTCGTACTGTCCTTGGAGCCCAGGCAGCAGCCCGGCCATGCGCTCTCGGTGCCTTGTGTGGCATCATGCGGGCCGGGACCCTCAGAGTGCGGGCAGAGGGCAACGTGTCCTCTGATGGGACCGCTGGGGATCCCGGGGGCCCCCAGGAAACCCCTTGCACCCTTGTCAACACCGTTAAGGTGTTGTGTCTCTACTGCCAACCTGGAAATGGTGGCGGTCTGTGTGCCATCCCTCTGGGAACCTTTGGGTGCTTCTCTGGCCCTGCTTATCTACCTGGAGGCTCTCTTCCCAGGGGACAAGGGGCACAAAGTAAGAGTTATCAACTTTTTCGGTTGTCGTTGTTGTGGTCCTGGGGATGGAACCCCAGCTTTACTCTGAGCTACACCCCAGCCCTTTTTAGTTTTTCTTTTAGGACAGGATCTTGCTGAGTTGCTAAGTTGCCTAGGCTGGATTCGAACTTGCAATCCTGCCTCAGCCTCCCCAAATACAGGCTTGTGCTCCTGTGCCCAGCTAGAGTCACATCAGACTAGAAGTTCCTGAACGTCGCGCATGCCAGCAGAGGGAGTCAGCTGTCCCCCGGGCCTTCGAGGGGGGCATTGTTCAGCTTACGACACAGAGACTCAGAGAGGTAAAGTGACAGTCCAGGTCACACAGCTGGCAAGTGCGCCTGGGATGGGAACCCCAGTTTGCTGACACCTGTGGGTCCCAGGACAGGAGGATTCTCTGGGACACGAAGAGGTGGAAGGCAAGGACACCACACAGAGAGGGACAGGGCAGGCACGGCAGTGCTCCAGGCCGGGCCCCGGAGCACCTGTTAGGGGCCGCCATCCGGTCCCACCCGTGGGGAACGCAGCCCTCTCTGGCCAGCTGTGGGGATGGGGGCTCTCTGTTCTGGTCTGTGGGAGGGGTACACCTGCTGGAGAGGCCAGGGGTGATCCAGGCTTTGGATTTATTTCTTTTTAAAAATTTTATTTTCAGACAGGGTCTCGTTAAGTCCCTAATTTGCCCAGGTTAGGCTAGAACTTGCGATCCTCCTGCCTCAGCCTCCCAGATTACAGGTGCATGCCAGCATGGGTTTACTTCTAATCACTGCTCCAAGTATCGGGGACCTGGGCTACGCCCCCCCCCCCCCAGGACAGGCACTGGGCTGAGCGGCTGCCAAGTGTGAGGGCTCTGGATGCCCAGGTCCTGCTCATCCCACCCGCACAACGCTCCCTGGGCTTCAAGAGTGTAGGTGGCCTCCTGGCTGACTTAGCCCGGAGTAGGCAGAGCTACAGGGCAGTCTGGGGCCACACTGAGGTTCACTTTGAGAAGCCGGATAGGAGACGCGAAAACACAGCAGATTTAAATGTAAAAAGACAGCGTAAGAGACACGTGGCCAGGAAGCCCCTCAAATCCCTCCCTCTGTCTCCAGCGCATCTATCCCTTTCCGAAGTGATTCTGGAGTCCTCTTTCCTGAGTGTCTTCCTGAGGTGGCTGCCATGATGCCCCGAACTAAACTGTTTCCTTTCACGGTTCTTTTGACTTTGAGGGAGAGCTGAAGTGGCCCGGGCCAGGTCTGCTGAATGGCTGGGGACACAGACTGTTGTCCCCGTGGTTCAGGCCCCGCCTTTTGGTCGGATGGCACTTGGTATTCACTGTATTTCTGATCCCATCTCATACGCATGCTCGTGGGAAAGGGCTTTAGAAACTGCTCCAGAAGGTGAGGAGAAGGACGGAACGAGTGTGTTCAAGGGGAAGCTCTGAGGGAGAGTCAGGCTGATACGTTTTATGGTGATCAATTTTTAAAAATGTAAACATTCACCTATATTTTGATTACCTTTCTCCATGCAAACTGTCGAAACCCATCCAGCGCCACCCCTGGAAGTCCTGCCGGGGAGCAGTCACATGTGGGAGAGTCACAGAGAGGCAGATGGTGCCGGGAGCTGGGCCTCCGCCCCTTTCCCCAAGCCAGCATTGGAGAGCAGGGGAAACTGAGGCACGGTGCTGGAAAGCGACACAATAGTCACGGTTTCCCGCAGAGTGGCTCGGCACGGGGACAGTCAGGGGGCCCGTGCCTTTCCTTCACACTCCATGGCTGGCAGGTGTATCCAGGGACCTCTGGGCACACTGTCCCCTTCTGTCCAGGTTCTGTCCCCAAGGGGTGACAACTGGGCAGTCACCTTCCACTCCTCCGCGTACCATCCACGGTCCCTGGCTGTGTCCGGTGACGCAGGACGTGTGGGGCACAGGGGCCTCTGATGCTCTGTCTGACTGCTGGTTAAATGGGGTGCATTTCTCCCCGCTTTAGAGCCGAGGACCCCGAGGTGTCAGGGAGCAAGGGCCCAGCCTGGTAGGGTGGTGTTTGAGATGCAGGTCTTAATAGCCACACACAAGAATATTAAGTTTCCATTCCCCTGCTGACTCCTCTGTGCACCCCGCAGCTGCCTGGCACTCGGGCCTGCTGGGTGCCTGCAGGGTGCCAGCTGGGTGCCCAGTGCTGGCACCCTAGCCAGCTCCTTGGCTCTTCTCCACTTCCCCTTTGTCCTTCCTCTTTCCCGTTGTATTTTTAGAAATCTTTGCACTTGCAGCCTGGTTCCAGGACAGCTGGATCCACTTCCCCTTTCCAGGGGGCGAGGGGGGTGCCATCCTGGAGGCCCCTGTCTCTGTCAGACCACCACCAGGCAGGAAGGCCTGCTGCCCGGGGCCCGTCCCCAGCCGGCAGGGCAGCCCATGTGGCTTCCTCTCCGCAGCCAGGCGAGCGTCCTCTATTTTTAGCTGCGCCACAGGCTGTGGGTCCTCTGCACCTCCGCTGGGGTTGGGGACCGCACACCATCCCTCCTTCCCGGCAGGCCCCGGGGAGGACCTGACCCGCTCCCCAAATATCACAAACCCCGTCGATGGTGGGAGGCGACGCCCCTGCGGGAACCCCTTGCCACCCTGTGCTTAGTGAGCACGGGGAAACTGAGGCCCGCAGCAAGAAGAGCTGGAGCCGAACTGGACCTGGCCTTGCGCTGACGCAGGGCCCTGCTCCTGCGCACTTCCGCATGACGTCACCGGGCCGCCGAGGAGCTCCAGTTAGGTCTTGGCCAGGGCAACTAGGGGTGCTGGACCATCTCCTCCAGGAAGTCTTCCCAGGGCGCCCCACCCTGGTGGGAGAGGTGCTTCCCCTCCTGCCAGGTCAGTCTCAGTGCTGCAGCCTCTGCACCCCTCTCCCCCTGGCTCCAATCTCCCCACCCTGCGTGCTGCACGGAGGACTGTTCATGGAGTGAATGAATGAGGGAATGGATGAACGAAAGCGTAAACCCGCCCTTGGAGATCCCGGGTCTCCCCGTAGACGCTGTGCCGAGCCCTCCTCACTGGTCAGTGCACCAGGGCCGAGACCCCCACCTGGCCGTGAGGAGCCCGCATCCTCTCCACTTGTGCACCACTTGATCTTGAGCAAGCCACTGTCCACCTCCGGTGAGCCTCAGTTTCCCTACTTGCAACATGAAGCAACAGTCCCTGCGGTTTCAGGGTGCTGGGACCCAAACAAGCAGTCATAGTGCTGACCAGGCAGGCAGATGGTCCAGGGGAGGGGACACTCCTCACAGCGTCACCCGCCTGCCGGGCACTAGTGAGTCAGCCCTGGGTCACACTTGGTCTCTTCTTGCTTCCTGCCATTCCCTAAGACGGAGTCACTGAGCCATACAGGTGGGAGCCATCAGGGGAGACGGAGGACAGGTGGGCTGGGGGGAGAGACAGTCCTGCCTCTGCCTCCTGAGAAAGTTCTCTCCTGGCCTTCAGCTTTCCCCTGGGGCCCCTTCGGTGACCCAGCTGCTCTGTGTTAGGTTTTGTTTAAAGAACGTTTGTGCTTCTGCTGGACCTGGGGACCGGCCAGCTCTTGCTGCCAGCTTCTGGAGTTGCAGGTGGACGTTCTGAAAATCGGGGTGCAGCCCCTTCCCGGTCCCTCTCTCTGCCTCCCAGAGAGCAGCTCTGCAGCCTCGGCATCCTCCCCTGACCCCCAGAGTCACCGTCCTGGTCACTGGAGGTCACAGTTGGGTCCTCGGCTGCCATTGTCCGGCCTCCTGCTGGCCTGAGGCAGTGTCCCCTGCTCCTCGAAGGCCACCACCAACCCTCGAGGGCAAAAAACTGGCTTCAGGGCTGTGTAGCACCCAGACAGCACCACTGCCACCCACACTGTCACCTTTGTCACAGAAAGTCACTGTTCCCCACACCAGCCGCGGCCTCCATGTGGCTGCCCTGCCCTGAATGTTGTTTTTAGAACTCACAACTTCTTGTTCCCTGCAGGGCCGGGCGCCAGCTCCGTCCCCTCCCAGCACCTGCTCCCCGAGGCCTCATCCTGGAGTCGGCGGGGTCCTTGCCGGACCCTGTGTTTTGCCCCGTGTCCCTTCCAGGACCTGCGAGGCAGCCTCTGCATCCCCGCTCTGCAGGAGAGGGCGCCGAGGCCAGAGGCTCGGCCCACGCTTACCTGGGCGGCACAGGTCCATGCCGAAGCCCCCGGAGCGGTGGCTGCGCCCGTGTCTGCCGGTCCAGCTGCCGCTCTGGCGGCCGGGCAGAATGTGTCACCTTGCTGGTGACAGGTCCTTCCTGCCTGCCCCGCAGGCCCGGCCCCCGTGGGGAGGAAGTAAGTCTGGGCTGCTGGGGACTGTGCAGCCTTCTTGTGCTGCTTCACTTCCTAAATGCGCTGAGAGGTCTGAGGAGCAGAGACTTTACATCTGGGGTGTGGGAGGGGACAGAGCGGCAGAGACGCACACACACTCAGGACTTGCACAACCATGAGGAAGGTGTCAGTGAGGACACACTTCTCCTGGGCAGCCTGGGCATTTGCTACGCCCTCCTCACACCGAGGTCACCGAGGTCAAGGCACAGTCCAAACTGTGTAGTCCTGAAATTCCCATATGCTACCCCACAAGCTTCTTTTGTAACTCCCACTGAGTAAAAACAAATGAATTCAGCTACTAGGAAGGGCTTTGTTTTCCTTCAAAGACATGCATGCGTTTTTGCTGCCTAGGGGAAAATTGGGGTAAAACGCTCAGTTTCCCCTTTCCCTCAGCCTGCTGGGAAACTCACTATCAAAGCTGAGTTGCATTTACAGCTATTCTATGACAGTATATGTGGTGCAGGGCCTGACTCAGTTGTTTGATTCTCAGCTCTGGCACACAGGAGAGATGACATTATAGGATTTTTTGTGGTTTTCCATACTAGTGATTGAATCCAGGGGCCTTTGTGCTGGGCTACATCTCCAATCTTTTTTATTTTTTGAGACATCGGCTCACTAAGTTGCTCAGGTGGGCCTTGAATTTGTGACCCTCCTGCCTGTCTTCTGTCTTCTGGTGTGACAGACCTGCACCACTGCACTGGCTCATTATGGGACTTCAGAGACCAAGCTTTAAAAGTCCTCACAGTCCCACTCCGGCTCCTGGCTCCTGCCTGGCTGCCATCAGAACCAGCCTGGGCCAGCTGCTGGGGGAATGGAGGCCACGAGGACACTGGACACGAGGCTTGGCTGTCACTGGCCGCAGCCCCCTGGCTCAGGCCAGGGTATGTGAGACCCATCAGGCTGAACCAACCTCGGATGGCTCCCTCAGAGACTTGTGAAAAGAGTGTTTTTTGCCATTGTTTAAAAATTTATTTTTAGTAAAAATTTTAATGGACACATAATTATGCATATTCATGGAGTATAGCATGATACGTTGAGACACAATACTAGGTGGGATGTGACTACATCAGAGTGATCGGCAAACATTTGCCATTACATTTTGTTGTCATTGTTAAAATTGGTAACTTTTGGGCTGTTTTGTTACACAGCAAAGCTCACTGATACAGAGCACTCTGCACTGTCTATGTCCTGAAGAGGACGTAGAGGCTTATATCTGGGGTGTTTTGACTATGACCACATTGGACCTAGACCTGGTGGCCAGGCCAGCCTGCCACTTGGGACTTGGAACCTGTGCTCCCTCCTGCTTCTTCCAGCACTTGAAGTTGTTTTCTGGGAAATCTGTTGAATGACTTTCGTGGAAAACTAGATTTTTCTTTATACATTGGGGCCAGAAGCACCACAGGCTATTTTTGGGTCATCTCAAACAGAGGGGTGCGGAGAGAAGATGCCACAGCTGCTGTCTGGAAGCCAGGCTGCCAGGGGCTGGTGTTGTGCCAGGGCCTGGGCACGCTAACCGGTGACAGAGCTGCTTGGGCAAACAGCAGACTGGGGTGTCTCTGCTTTCCCGCCGTCACCCTTGACCACTGGAGAGGTCAAGCACACTCAGGCTGGCAGCTCTGCTGGCATCAGACTCTGGGCGGCCGGGGCCTGGTGTCTAGGGCACATCCCTGCAGGCCCCCTGGTGCTCTGGCTCTGGGCGTTTTCTCTGTCATCTGCTGGGTCCTGGGGATCCTTGTTGTGAGACACAGAGAGCTGGCTCATCCTGCTGGGCGCCAGGCTCCCTGTCTGAGCACTGCTTGAGGGAATTCTGCCATCATCTCTGCCCTGTTCCCGAGACTCGACTCGGATGCCACCTCCTCGTGGTCCAGAGTGGCTGCCTCATCGCCAGGCATTGTGCCTAAATTTCAGGTGAGAGAAAGAGCAAAGGTTAGAGCTCTTTCTGGTCTGCAGTCGGTGTTTTATTTAATTCCTTCTGCAAACCTGCGATGTGTATTATTATAACTCCTGTTTGGAAATGGAGTTCGGAGAGGTTTAGTCACTTGCGTAAGGTCACACAGCCAGGAAGCAGCAAAGCTCAGACTGAAGCCCTGAGCTGTCTGAGTTCAGAATTCCCCTCAGCACATTTAGGAGCAAGCTCCTTGGCTGGCGCTCTTCCCTGTCCATCCCTGTCCCCAAGGAGAGATGGGAGGGCTCTGAAATCATAGCAGCACTGCGAGGGTGACACTGGCGGTTTGTCCCGAAGCTCAGGATTCCACAGCCAGATGGAACTGGCTTACGGTGGAGGAGCCAGGAGCTGGGAAGTGGTTTCATTCGATGGCTGTATTCTCAGATGGGAAACTGAGGCCTGGAGAGGAAGGGGCCTCCCAGAGCGAGTGAAGAGCAGAATCTGCTCTTGAACCCGCATTTGGCCGTACCGTCTAAGCTCCCTTCCTTCATCCCCCCATTCAGCTGATAGGTCGGTGGCCATGTACTGTCTCAGCATGGGCTCTGTCCTCCTGCGCCTGTGGCTGGGACTCGAACCCAGGCAGGGATGAGGTCACACTACGGTGCTCTCCTTGGTGCCTGGGAACTGCCCCCGCGCCGGGCTCCTCCCAGCACCCCTGGCAATGGTGACTTCGGGGAGCTTCTGAATGTCCTCCGCGAGTGAAGGGTTAATAAACAATGCTGTGACAGGAGGACGGACCAGTGTGAGTCACTAAAGCAGATAATGACATGGAGAATTCGGGCATCACCTCCTTTGGGTTGTAAGTAAACTGGAATTCACTGGGTCGGTCTTGGAGAGTTAGAGATGGCTTTAGATTTGGGGACAGATATCAGAGACTTGCTTCCTTTCTCTGTCTGTCTCCGTTTCTGGCTCTCTCTTTCTGTCTCTCTGTCCCTCCTCTGTGTCTGTCTTCCACCCGTTTCCTGACTTCCATCAAGTCACCTTGGACTTCACAGACAGGAACCACGTGCTTCCTAACCAAGAAAAAAAAAAAAAAACTCAGGGAAACACTCTGATTGGTCAAGTTTGGGTCATGTGTTCATCCCTGGGCCAATCCTTGCAGCATCCCAGGAGAAACACTGTGATTGGTCAGGCCCCTGGTCAATGCTCCGCCCTGTGGCCACAGGCAGGTGAGAAGGATGGCTGCCCCTGCTAGGGCCACAGAAGGGCAACGCTTTACAGAGGGAGCCTGGGCCAGAGACACAACAGAGCTCCACTCTTGTTGTTTATTTTTTGGGTAAGTTCTTGCCTTCTATTTCTCTCGTTTTTATTAACTGGATAATCCTAGATGATGCTGATTAACATGGAAATGGTCCTCGGTGTAGAGCCAAGCGGATGTCTGTTCTCTAGCACTGGGGTCGGGGCTTCCTGGCGTCCCGGCTCTGCCAGTTCACAATGGCTTTGGGCAATGGAGGTCACCTCTCCAAGGCTTGGTTCCCCCTCTGTAAGATGTTAAATGATTGGTGTGGGGACTGTGTGGGTCGAGCCATGCTGAGCACGGGTGGCAGGGGGTCAGCTGTCAATCAATGTCATTTTGGAGCAGCATGGCCGACCTGAGTCCCTTGGGGCCAGAGGGGTAAGTCACTGGAGAAGCGGGGCCACCTAGGGACACAACAGGAGAGGTGAGGCTCTGGCAAGGAAAGGGTCTGCCCCCACCCCTCCATGCACTGGGCAGCTGGTTCTCAGTGACTGTCACCACGCAGGGACCAGAACACAGGACAGCCCGCTTTCCCTGTTTCCTAAGGACAGCCACATTTGTAAACTTTTGGATCAGACTGACACTTACTCATTTTACAGGTGTGCGAAATTCTGGGGCTGGAGACGTCATTGAAGGCCATGGATGTAGGTTGGAGCTGCCCCGAGGGGACCAGAGTCATCAGTGTGGGGCAGACACAGTCTGCATCTCGGAGTTTAAGATGCCGCAAACCTTCTTTGCCTCTTCTGTGTTTAGATGTTTTGTTCAACAGTATCAACAACAAAAGAGCAGGCAGCTCCTCGGGAGCTCCCAGGAGCTCAGCAGGGAGCGTGGGATGCGGAGGTAGGAGGGGAACGGCAGGGCTGGAGAGGGTGGGTGACCCAGAAGTCAGCCTCCCTGTAGCAGACCGGCCTTGACCCCGAGTGGGCTGAGCAGGCCCGGCCAAAGCTGCTGTTCCTGTATCGGGCCCTCACGGGTGATTTCTTCCCAGCTTCCTGTTCCCCCTAGCGTGGTGTGGGGCACCTGCTGGCTCCATAGCTGCAGAGGGAGGTGAGCAGTCTCCTGGGCTCCTGAAGAGACAGCAAAGCTTAGCGCACGGACCTGGCCTGAGCACAGATCCTGGGCCAGCTGCTCACGGAGTGGCGTGTGGGCACTGGAGACCATCTGAAGGCAGATGTAGGGCCTTCCCCGTCCTGGGTGATCGTACCCAAGGGTGAGGCTCAGGTGGTGGCATTTGAGGCAGAGGTCAATTTTAGATGAGGGCTATCATTCCACACCCAGCAGGTGGCCAGGAGATCTGAGTACAAACTGTGCAGCTGAATGCTGGGAACAGAAAATTAAGCAGCTGCCACCGTGGCTCTGTGGTAAACACAGAACAAGGGGCTCCCGGCCCATTCTGTGAGGCTGAGCCACAGCGGGGTGTGTGCCTCGAGTCCTGGCAGCCAAGCAGGAGTCAGAGCTAGCGAGAGGCAGAGGCGGGGTCCTGGTGGCAGGAGCAGCCGGAGGAGGCAGGAGCAGTGGCTAAGCCTGGTTCTGCCCAGGGTCTCGCCCTCTCCGTCCGCTTCCTCTCAGCTGGGCCTCTCCCCGCCACTCAGCTGCCGCCGCCCGGTGTCCACTTCCCCTTTCCAAATGGAGGGCAAGGGTTTCAGGAACAAGGCCTCTTCTGCTGGGATTGGAGAGTGCAGGGCACAAGTGGGTGCCTGGCTCTACCCCTCCCACTCATGAACAGGGGCCTGGAGGAAGCAGGAGATCCTCTGTGGGCCCAGGTGGCTGGGTTGTGGGCTGCGAGAGGCTGAAGTCCCAGACAACCAGAGGGAGCATCTTTCTGTGTCTCTCCTGCCTCATGGTCACCGAATGGCTGCCACAACTCCAGGTGTCTCATACTAACTGGACAGTGCTCACATGACTATGCTTCTCCCATTTGGCTAGCGTGAGTCAGTGCTTGCACATGTGTGCAGAGAAACCTGGGAAGGGAAGCACCTGGCACGGGTGACATCTGGGTGGCAAAGAGGGGCTGCCAGCAGGAGGGAAGTGCCAGCCTGTGGGGCCTTGGAAGGGACCATGTGTGATGCATCAGAGGCTCCAAAGCAGGGGCTGCTCCCTGAGTTCCCGTGTGGGAGCCCTTGGGAGCTTGGGGTTGACAGACGAGGAGACTGAAGCAGCACAGACCAGAAACTGGTGCAGCTGCCCACCGTGGCCCTGCAGCCAGGGCGCACAGGTGATTTCCTCTCAGCTGCCTGTCCAGCTCCCTAGTGTGATGTGGGCACCTGCCGGCTTCTGTAGCTGCACAGGGAGGGGGCTGGCACCGATGCCTGAGTCCCCAGCAGAGTTACCTTCCTGGGACGTCGGGCCTTGCTGGGTCCCACTGACGCTTGTCAACTTAAGTCTCCCAGAGTCTCAGGGCTGTGACTGACCCAAAGGTCAGTCAACGAGCTTTCACACCATGCGCTGCTCCACACACGTGCACCCGGGGACCCTCCACCTCCGTTGTGCCACTGTGCTGTCGTGCTTTGGTGTTTGTATCCGGGCTCATGAGCCCTTGCTGGGGCACAGCCTGGGTTTGAGTGCCGGCCTGGGATTGTCACACCATCCTGAATTACCCCCACCCTAGGGCAGTGCTGGGCTCCTGGGACCTTGGCTCTGAAGAGCAGCCGGTGAAGTTGTTCTGAGGGCCCCAGGGCAGTGCCGCCTTTGGAACCCAACAGGATTTGGGCTTGTGCAGGTGTGGGGAGGCTGGTAGGCGAGGTGGCACCTGCCACTGGAAAGACAAGAGGATGCCGCCTGCTTTCTGAGAGCAGGGGGTACGCCAGGCCACACTGGGAGGCCCGGGGTGGGCAGGAGGCGCAGGGGCCACGGTAGGGTCTTCTTTATTTTGCAACCAGGAATAGGTAGGGCCGAGCAGTTTTGGATGGGAAAATTGTATAATCCTGCATTCCTGTATCGTCTGGTGCCCAGCCCCGGGCCATCAGGGCACTGGAGGTTTAGGGCAGACAGCAGGGAGGGCTGGTTTGCATGTGCATGCGGTCTCTGTCTCTAGGAATTAGCTCACTCCAGCAGGGACTGTCCCTTCCAGTCAGGGGACCCTAGATGCCAGAGCACCAGGAATACAGAACATAAAAGCAGCTAATAGGGTGAATCCTGTTAGTGTGTGTGGCTGGTTTGGTTTCTGCTGTGTCCTCTGCACTGAGGATAAACCTGGTATACAGTAGGTGCTCAAGCCATACTTGGGTATACAGTAGGTGCTCAATCCATGCTTAGGTCAGGGGTGAGGCTTGGGCTGTGTTTGGGAGGGCTGACATGAGCTATAGCTGGGACAAGTTCCTTTCTGGTGTCACTACAGCCCATTGGGTTCTGACCAGCCACCCTGGCCTGAGTGCCTGGAGCCCCAGCCAGGCTCAGCATTGTCATCCAGGAATTGGGGTGTCATGAGTGTCTCTGGGGGCACAGTGACACAGCAGTGGCCTGAGAGTGCCCCAGTGAAGATGTGCTGACCTGTCAGCCCCCTACAGTGCCCTTCCCTGACCCCCAAAGTGCTGCAGGCCTGGGGAAAGCAGGGCCTTGCTTTGCATCCTTGGGATCCAGGAGATGGGATTTCAGGCGGGCACCTCAGACCTGGACCCTGGAGCCCATCAAGGTGCAGCTCCAGGCTCCTGCAGGTGGCCTGGGGTGGCTCTTTTGACACGATCTCAGCTGTAGGGACTCCAGCTCCCTTCTCTAACCTGGGCAGGATGCACCCAGAGCTCTGGGCTGCATCTTCAACAAAGGAGTTGTTAGAAGAAACAGAGAAACAGAGAAGCCATGTCTGTGCCACTCTGCCTGGAACTCAGCACTGGCATCTTTAGCAGCTGTCAGAAAAGCCACATCCCGGGGCTGCTGGCACGCTTCTCCTTTTCCAGTAAGGAGAACTGAGGAACTTACCCGTTTCCCTATTCGTCCCAGCTTCCAGGAAGCACAGGCAAATCTACAGCCCAGCACTGGGCGCACCCCTCCTCCTCTTCTCCTGGGCAGGGCCTTCCGATTTCACGTTCCTAGCTTTGTGCGTCGGTGGGAGACCACCTGGGGCTGCAGACTTTCTAAATGGAAGCAAGGAATGAAGGAGGGACAGAAGGAAGGAGGGAGGGAATCTTTAGCAAAATATGGCTACGGCGGGCAGGGATTCGGATTTAAAGTTTGGTCACCAGCGCAGTGTGTGGCCTGGGACCCTCCCCTCGCTCCCTGATTCTCTGGCCTCTGACCCTCTTCCTGGCCGCCTCTGCAGACTGCTGTCTGTCCACGTGTCCTGCACTGATTCTTTCCTTACTCACCACATAGTGTGAAGCGCCCACCTCTTCTCCTGAAAACTCCGTGCATTACAACTGGCCCCTCATTTCCCTCCTGTGTTTCAGCTCGGTGAACAGTGGCCCTAGCAGCTGGGCACCTGGACGACAGCTCCTTCTTCCCGCTGCCTCCCTGCTCGGTGTGCGGTGTCCATGGAGCCCAGCATTCCAAATGGCTCTGTCCAGGCGACCTCGCTGCCTGCTCCCTCTCGGGGCCACCACCATCTTCCCAGTGTGAGCCCCTGGTAGCGCTTTGGCCTTTAGCCCTGCCCTGTCCACCCTAACTCTTTCCTCTCACAGTGTCCACAGCGACGTTCTGGAACAAATCTGATAATGCCACGCATTTCTGCTTTGTCGCCAAGGTGGGGAAGGGAGCAGCGGCTCCTCCGGTCACTCCTGGCCCAGAGCCGGAGGTGCTCAGCCAAAGTGGCACCAAAGGGTGTGGGCAGGGTGCGAGGGCGCCTGTCTGGGCCTAACGTCCGGGGCCTTGCAGGTTTGGGCTGGGCCTTGGGGTCAGGGGGCACGGACGGTGGGGTCAGGCAGCCATGCCGAGTCTCAGTCTTCTGCTCTGCAAAACAGGACCAATTGCTCAGCTCCTCAGAGGTGGGCTGGGTGCCGCCTGCGAGGCTGGCCTGTGGACACCGGCAGGGAGGAATTAAAAAAAAATTTAATAAGGGACGTTATGGGGAAATTCACATAAAAAACTCCATGCAAAACAGCAGAGGGCTGAGCCGCAGCGGGCCGTGGGAAGGCGGATCCGGTCTCCGCACCTCTGAGCCTGGGCGTCCCCACCTCCCGCAGCTGGACAGGGAGGGGCCGGCCTGACCCAGCGCACCCTACCCCCTCCCCGCCCCGTCAATATCCTCCAGCCCTCGCGCGGCCCCCTGTGGTAGCTTTGGGGATGGCACTCAAGAGACCCTAGTGCCAGAGCTGTCCTCTGAATCAGAGGACGGTTAGGACCTTCAGCCACAGCGCCCCAGGGGCCCGTGGGGCTGGAGTCTAGCTGGGGCAGGAGTCTAGCTGGGGCAGGGGCTGGGCACGGGGGGAGCGTGCGGCTCTATCTCTGTCTTCCTTTTCCTGTTCCCAGTGTCCCTCCGCGACCCTATGGCTGGCCTCCGTACCGGGGGCTGGGGTACCCGGGCGAGCTGGTACGGAGTTGGGGTGAGGGTGGTGCTCGGTGGGGAGCCCTGGAGGATAGGCAGGCCTAGAACCAGGTGAGGTGGGCGAAGCAGGATCCCTCAAGGGCTGGATCAGATTCCATCTTAAATTTTTGTTTATGCTGATTGTTTTTTGCATTACTTCTGGCTTTTAAGAATATCGAAAGCATTATTTATCTTGGTCGGTGAGTTTTCAGCCCCCCTTAGATCTGTCTCTTTTCCCACGCAGTGCCGCCCACCTTGCCCCAGCCCCCCTCACCCACCCTCCT